TTTATCATAAACCCTCAACGACCGCGGACACGCCGGCGTTACAGTTAACAATAGATTTCTTAGAAATTTTATTAATTTCTTAGAAAACCTGGAGGTGTTAATAATATATACAGATAGCGTCACCTAGTTCCAAGTTTTGTTACTAACAGTAGCCTATACGTTACTCCAGGTCGTAGCCTATCGGATATATGTATTTTAATTGGTATAATATAAAGGAAATACAAAGGTCTTCTTAAAGTATTTTTTTTGGGTTTTTAATTACCATTTAAGGACAAAAAATTTGCAAAAATTATGCTATGTACCTATGTTTTAAAGAAAACCACGAACTCAATATCGTATCGTGTACGTGTCCTGCAAAGTAACTTTAAATTAACGTTTTGATTTAACGTTTATAGCTTATATTAGTCGAACGGATCATATGCTAATTTCCTTCATCTAGATTATCTTAAGCCACCCTTATTTTAAGTATTATAACTTAGGAAGGATAAGTCATCAAAATTTTGTTATTGCGAGCGTTTAATATAAAGACTTACTAGATTAACTATAATATAACGACAAAATATACGTAAAGTACAAATAAAGTGATCTAAATAGAGGCATGGGTTCTATTTGCAATATAGTTGGAAGAAAAGTTGACCTCTGTGGTAAATGCTCATACTATATTACTGCTAACTTTATTCCGCGGCTCTGCTCGCCGGTAGATACATCTATATTAAGTATGTAAATTAACTTACGCATATTTGATATCCATTAATATTATAAATGTTAAAGTGTGTTTGTTTGTTTGTCTTTCTTTCACATCGAAACGGCTTGGCGGATTGGCGTGATTTTTTGTGTGGAGATAGTTGGAGGGCTGGAGAGTGACATAGGCTACTTTTTACCGCGGGAGATTATCTGTTTCCCTCGGGAAAACACGTTATAATACAATTCATAAAATATTTATGATCAGAATTACTTGAAACTTGGTATAAATGCTGATGATGATGGTGCTGTGACCATGATTGCTGTAAAGCATTCGAAACGTCGGGAACCAAAAATCAAAATAACTCCGCAAAAAAACCGAAAAGATAGTTTTATTTAAAATGTCAAATATTCGCATAAATCTAAGAAAGTATTATATATTTCTTACTCCCAACTTTTATCGTTTCGGCAATTATATTATAATCAAAAAGCATAATTATTACTTTATAAGGTTATTAAGATCTTTTCAAAAAAGTGCGCTTTTATACGATTTGTATGTTAATATAATTACATTGGTAATAGTACATTATTACATTGGTAATATGTTTACAGGTATATGGTCATGAAAGGAGATCTTCTTTGCATATTTTAGTATTTTTCAGTTAGTATATTCAATGAAGAGATTCTGAATGAGAATTTTAACTAAGTTTTAGAATAATGTTTATTCAGTACTATAGAGCATAAAACACTTCTGTGCTTTTTACAAACCAAACATCTAAAGCAAATATTAAAATTAATATACGGATGTACATACATACTTTGATAATAATAATATTACCTATAGTAATAATTTTTTCTATGCACTTATATTAATCCCTCGAGAAATACTTAACATATTAACAGAATGAAAAAAATACCCGATGCCATTTTCCGACCCATACACTATTCCCATAAAAAATAAGGGACAAAAAATAGACAAATTCGCATTTTAAATACTAGCTGTACTACTATTTATTATATATTTATTTATTTATTTATTATTATTATTATATAATTATATTATAAAGCTTAATCAATTACAAACTAAATATTCAACATCAGGCGTAAAGATGAGAGATATCTTTGTAGGATCTCAATCGATTATACTCCGAATGCAGAAATTCGAAGCACCCCTCCAAGACACCCCTCTCTGGATGCGGGCAAATCTGCGAATTAATTTTACTGGCGAAATATGCAAATCTCTGATATAGCCGGCTAATAACATGTACAAAAGAGTGGCGACTCGGGCGCGAGAAAGCTATAGATTATATCTATATATATAAAAGAAAGTCGTGTTAGTTACTTCGCTTATAACTCAAGAACGGCTGAACCGATTTAGCTGAAAATTGGCAGGGAGGTAGTTTAGAGCCAGGAGAAGGACATAGGATACTTTTTATCCCGTTCGACCGCGTTCCAATTTTTATGATATTTTAATTTTTGGATTTCTCTTAGTCCGGAATAGGTAAGTATTAAAACATATAATTAAAATGTGAGAAAGAAAGATTTTTTCTTTTTATATCTATTTAAAACGTACCTAGCGACGAACCCGAGCGAAGCGAGGGTGAGCCGCTAGTATTAGTTAAATTTGAAAAGATTAAGGTTTTATACCTATTTGTGACGGGATCGAGAGGTCAAAGACAATAGGGATATGCGTGATTTTTTTAATTTATTATACAACGCACGATATTTCGGGCCCTTGGCGTGACGTCAAAGTATCATACATTGAAAAATGACGACTCTAGTTAACTCTAGTTATAGCGACAAAATCGATAATCGCTGTTATGATAATAATTTGACGTCATATTCGGCGTTTCAACCACTTTGAATTTTTCACCTATATTTGCATATTTTAGTAATTACTTTCTTAATCAAAAAGAAATTACATTGAAACATATTACTATACGCTTAATTCAAAAGCAATAAAGATTACAAAAAAAAAAACACATTTATTTAAATCACACGCATATTCCCTATTGTATGGTAGGCACAATACAATTTATTTTGTCGATAAAACACTATCATAGTTTATTGATGAAAATCTGTCGATAATCAACAGGTAGTTCTGGCCTAAGTATTAGTAGAAACAAATTCTAGGTTAAATGGCAATACGGAAGAAGATTTTATACCACAGGCCTCTTGCACCAAAATCTAGTTTGGTGTAAATATCTAAAACTTCACCAAATGTCGAATTGTTCTGCTTAACATTTACTAAACATATTTAAGATATTTAAATCAATTTAGAAATTGTACAAATGGCGTTAAAATATTATTATGATAAAATATTATTATAACAAGACAAAGTTAAATACATATTGAATAGAATATACCTACATCTTTTCACTAAAATATTAGATGTAGGCATTGTGTTATTGATAAAAATATTACTATTTTAACGTCATATAGGGAATTATTCCCATAAGCTCATTTCAAATATTGTTACTAAATATTTTTAAAAATTAAAAAAATATATATTTACACATACCAATTTATGACGTTATAACAGTAACTTGTGATGGAAGTCTATTTAGAAGAGAAACGTTTCCTCTATATAAGCCTAGCAGAATCCGCGACTTCGCTCGCGCTAAAACTACCAATAAACTCTAAAAAGTGGGTTTCATAAAAACTTTCACCCCCTTGGGGGTTGAATTTTGAAAAATCCTTCCTTAGTGGATGCTTTCGTCAAATAAGGAATATATGTGCGAAATTTCAATTTTCTAGCCTTAAGGGTTTGGCCTGTGCGTTGATACATCAGTCAATCACTTTTGCCTTTTATATACTCGTATATAGATAGTCATAATCAATCAAATCATTACTTAAGAGAGTAGGTACTTTTAAATGAACAATTTGAGTAGAACGTGATTCAAATAGACATGATCAAGTGTGTATTGAAGAAAATACTAAGACTAGCCTATGTCTTACTCATGATCTATATATAGTCTATGTGCGTACTAAATTTCATCCAAAATAGTCCAGCTACTTCAGTGTGAAGAACAAACATACATACATATATACATACAACTTATTACAACTTATCGTACTTGTAATACCAGTATGTGATGTGTGATGTCCGAGACATGTTCGAAAATTTCCTCAACGATTCACTTTAAGTGTAAACTGGAGTCGTCCATATGAGGCAGAATTAAAATTCGCCTCATCTACAAAAGACGTTATGCCTCTATTCTTTGGCATAATCGTTACCTCAGGCTAACATTATAGCCGCTTCGAGGAGCTTAATAGGTTTCAAAATTTACCGTGATAGTAGAAAATACACGATGCTTACGTGCCAGCATTCCCGGAACTTATCAGCCGTTATTAGGTTCCAGGTGTTTAGTTTAGAATACGGATAAACTCGTTTTCAAGCCTTTATATTTTTATTATAGAGATTATCACGAAAAAATATATAGGTATTAGGTACACTGATTGATTGTTGACTGAATACTTATCAGCTTATGGAAAAAATATAATAGAAAAGAACTAGTTTAGATGGATAAACTTATATCTGTATATGAATGCCATAGTATAAAATCTACGTTTTATCATCATGAGTGTAATTTAAGCGTTGTATCATGACAATACGATACGTTTGGCTCAGTTTGTAGTGACCCTCCTTATTGTGCCAGAGGTTGCGGGTTCGAGTCCCGCTGGGGACATTCATTTGTGTGATGAGCACGAATGTTTGTACGCCAGTCGTGGGCGTTTATATTTATAATATGTATGTATTTAAAGTTATATATATATGTAGTGTATCAACTATCTGGTATCCATAACACAGGCCTCGTAGCTTACCATGGAACTAAATGGTGCAGTGTGTTAATGTCCCAACATATTTATATTTATTTATTTACTTAATACATATGTATGTCATTCTCATATATTTTTATACAGTTTGTAGATATCAATTTGTCCAAGATAGCTTATTCTATAAATCAGGTTGCACAAACATTATTTATTTATTTTCTAGAGTATTTAAGATTAAATTAATGTCATTTAATCCTAATACATCCTTCCTTACACTGAATGATGACTCTTATTGACCTAATATGAAGTATCTAACACAAGTTTTCCTTACTAGAGATAGAAATTCAACTTAATCCCTCCACGACCGCGGAGACGCCGGCGTTACAGTTAACAATAGATTTCTTAGAAATTTAATCAATTTCTTAGAAATTTACCTGGAGGTGTTAATATCCATACAAATCATGTCAAATTCCTACTGCTAGGTAGCAAAATAACGCATTCGCCGTAAGTTCTAAATGGGAAAGCTTTTTAAATGAACTTACTTGCATAGAACAGTTTGATTGCCGGAATCGAAGAGGCCCCCTCTTCCCCATCGTGCAGGTAGATCCGCTACGGTCACTCCCCTAGAGCCCCATACACAGAGGCGGCTGCCGCATTCACTGCTGATGATTCTCTCAACGTTGAAAGCTGGAGGCGATAACAAATGGAGTTTCTGAAACAAATAAGATTAGTTAATTAGTTGCAACCCAATTATATTGCAATGTTATTTTGCCAAGTGAAGGCTTTATCTCGTAATAATTGTTTCTCTGGTGGTCTGAGTGACACGTTAGTAAAAAGCACAACAGATTTATAAAGAAACTAGCGTTTCACCCTCACTTCGCTCCAGTCCCTACGCATGAATGGTTTAGGAATGCATAAAAGACAAATGTCTAAAGCAAAATTCTTTTTTTTTCGAAAGAAACTTTTACAGGCCTGTATAGAATAACCAGCCAGAGTTTAGAAACGCATAGAGAACAAATATACGAACATCCCTTTTTATTTATATAGACATATTTTAAATATTACCCATTAATACCACTATACTGAAAAACAGCAAAAATGGTACTTGAATAAATTCAAAAGGAGCTAAATCCAATAATATTTAGTATAATATAATAATATCTTCGTAGAAAATTTTTTTTATTACGGCATAATTCCTAAACAACATGACATCAAAGGGTCGTTATTTGCAATCGCGATTCCATCACACCTATAGCGGCTAACTATCTCGGCGCCTTGGAAATATGATTAAGAAAGTTTTTTAATCAATAAAAAGAACAAGAAGAAAGACGCTTATTTCCTCATGGTTTTTTAGCTTTCGCGATATTTCATTACAACGCCTTGGCTTGTTTTATTCTACGTCAACTTATAATCGCTTATCGTTTGATGGCGCCCGCGGTCGCCTCTCATTTTTGCAGGAAATTGAAAAAGTTGTCTTCATCGTAGTGTGAATTCCTGTGGATTGTTGTTATATAATATATCGAGCCTTGGATGCATTGCGATGGATGTAATATGTACGAAAGATGCCCTACATTTGTGTAAGGCTATAACTAAGAAACTACTAAGAAATTTATAATTGCATACACCCCATGTGCATTGTAAGATTTTATATGAAAAATGTTGTTTTAGAAATGAAAAAACAAACTTTAAAAATATGACAAAAATGACAACAACGTACGATTTACAAGTCGTATGTTATGCCATGTTATTAGTATGTATAAGAATACGTCCTCGTTCATACGCAGCTTAAAATTGTAATTTTGAGAGACTGATTCTTGGGATATTTAGTAGAGCGTTTAGAATTATCGTTGTATAATCATTGTACTAGGAAATTCTTGATGTATTTCAACATCAAGAATTTCCTAGTACCTACAAAGATCCCCCCCAACGTGCGTTCACCTTGTCGTGGTGGGGGGGCTCAGTAGTGCCTGGCAACCAAACCGGGCGCGAAGCCAAGAAACGCATAGGGACATGGCCCACTTCGGTGGGCGGTGGGAGGTGGCCCTCTTCGGAGGGGGGTGTACTATACGGCTTGCTCCTGGTACTTCTCTGATAGCAGAGTGGACCTTGGAGCAACCCCGTGGTTGTTATGGTCTGCTTCGGCAGACCTGCCGTCGGGGCGTCGTAGTTGAATGCGTAAGCGATCCTGCGACGCCCCATTAAGACGGGGGAAGGCTTTGTTGGGTTTTAGTGGGTAGTACTGGCTTTGCCGGTGAGTCCCACACCTCGTGCGTAAATGCATTTCCCAACGTTAAAAAAAAAAGTACCTTCAACGATTGTTATTTTAGTTTATTGTATTTTAGAACATTTTAATACCAATACTGTTACTATTGCTACTAGATAAAAGTTTGCATGTAGGTATATGTAGGTTAATGATCTGTTTGCAAAAGGTTGGCCCGAATTTATGACCAAAAGATGATTATTATATACATATATATGTATGTATATAAAGAAAAGTAAAGAGAGGTTTTTGTATCAAGTCGCAAGAGGCACCTAGAGACGCATCCCAAAACGAACCCCAAGAAGACGCGAAGCAGAGGTTAATCACTAATAAATTTAATATACCCAATACAAATCTTTTATCATACTTGTTATTATCAACATTACAAGATGCTAAAGGTGATTCTTACAATTAAAAAAAAAATAAAAACCGACTTCAAACAAAAGCACTAAAAAGTAAAAAATAACTGATTGGTAGTTTTCATTTACTATACATACCTAATCAAATATTTTCGAAGTCGGTGTGCTTTGCTTTGTATGGGCTGGCACCGATTTCGAAAATATTTGATTAGGTATGTATTTAATAGGTAGGCTTTAATTACTTAGCCAAAGCACACCGACTTCGAAAATATTTGATTAGGTATGTATATAATACTTTCTTAGATTTACGCGAATGTTTGACATTATTTAATAAAACTATCTTTTCGGATTATTTCGCGGATTTATTTTGATTTTTGGTTCCCGACGTTTCGAATGCTTTACAGCATCCATGGTCACGGGAGAGACTCTCAGTCTCTCAGTCTCTCCGTCAGACTCTCAGTCTCTCCCGTGACCATGGATGCTGTAAAGCATTCGAAACGTCGGGAACCAAAAATCAAAATAAATCCGCGAAATAATCCGAAAAGATAGTTTTATTAAATAATAGGTATGTATAGTAAATGAAAACTACCAATCAGTTATTTTTTACTTTTTAGTGCTTTTGTTTGAAGTCGGTTTTTATTTTTTTGTTAAAAAGTTTTTATTTTTCCCTTTTTAGTGTAGACAGTAGTAGCAAAGTAAGGATTCTAACGTGTTAGGCTTGTCAAAGCAAACAAAATAAGCCCAAACTCAAAGTATCTACTATTAGCCGTTGAAGAGTTCCACCTAACCACCTTCTGGCCTTGCCATCAGATCAGGTCAACAACACTGAACCACTGTACTATTAACGGAAATAGAAATACTTGCAAAGTTTCAAGTCAATATGACAATTAGAAGTAGGTTAAATTCATCATTAGTTGTTTTTCCACCCTTAGGGGTGGTATTTTGAAAATTAAATGGGACCAATCTGGAAGTATACCCTTTCAAACAAAACAAAAATTGTCCAAATCGGTTAATAAATGACGGAGTTCTGAGGTAACAAACATAAAAAAAAAACATACAGTCGAATTGAGAACCTCCTCCTTTTTGAAGTCGGTTGATAATTCATGTAACATGATTAATGAAGCAGCTCATATTGTACAGCACTGATCATTTTCCACCGAAGGCACACGGTGTAGAATAAACAAAGGGAAGTGCATTAGGCAGTGATTATCGAAAAGAATCGAAGCCAACCCTTCCGCGCTCTGGCCATTTCAACCCCGACGGGTAGAGGTTTAGGGTGGTCCACAATTAATTGCCGTTTGAAATAATCTAGTTTAATATTTACGCCTTTTTTTGGTTTTTGTTTGTTTTTGTATTTAAAATTTACATGCTGAGTTGTATTTTATTTAAATCTTAGTTACAGTTAGCTGCTATGGAATACAATTAAAATCAGTTGTAGCGTAAGGTCAAATTTCTACTTATACGCCTTTTTAATAATCTTACAACTATTTTTATATATTTTTGTATTATAAATGCACTTGTGTACATATGTGTGTATGTTTGTTAATTCATCAGTCTTAAACGGTTAGATGGATTGGGATGAAATTTAGTAGACTTCGACCTGGAGCAACGTATAGGCTACAAATACCTCGGAATGCCCACAAGCAAAGCGGGGACAAGTAGTAGGGCCTATGTTGTATTTTTCTATTAGTGTTTCTAAACAACTACTGGTAAAACTAGTATATGTGTATTGATTTCCTTTAAATAGAATTTTTATTACAAGTACTTGTTTTATTTGAAGAATAACAATAAAAACCAATAAATAACTTTAAGTAATGCTCTCTGCGACTCTGGTCACTTCGCAATCGTAAATTGTACCTATCAAAACCGCCTGAAAGGGCCGTATCGAATAAGGGTTTTTAAATATATGTTAAGTTACATTATTTGCATATGAAGCGACAGTTTTTTAAAACAGATTTCACGTTCTCAGTGACCCTGTAGGTATACAAATTATTATATATTACATGGCTTGCTTTATGACTAATCTCCTTGGACTCATATCAACTCCTACAGGTAAATTTCTAAGAAATTATTTTTTCTAAGAAATCTATCGTTAAATGTAACGCCGGCGTGTCCGCGGTCGTAGAGGGATTAAGAAAATATTATTCTACCTAAAGGTATTTAAAAAAAAACTTAATGTATAAAAAGAAATTGATTTAACCGAAAGAAAAAACATTCGGACACTCACTTACAGCTATAAGAATTAACGTCTTGTCGAGTCCTTAAAATCAAAGCCAACAGAAAAATTATATCAAAGGAATGTAAGAATCGCTAGAATATTCTGCAGAAAATATAAGAGAGGTACGAGTTACATATGTTACTTCAAACGGATATTCGTTCTGGTTTTGTATAGAATATATAATGTACGTTATTAGTAACCGCTAATTTGCAACGTAACATAAAAAAGGCAATAGTAGATTAATGCTATACATGCGAAAGTTTGTGAGTATGTTTGTTACTCTTCACTCTGTAACTTCCTAACAAATTAGAGTGAACTTAAAAATGAAAAAAAAAATATTTTGAATTAATAGCTTACTTTATCGACGGATTACGCGAGCAGAGTTGAAGGTTAATTATGTATATTTTGTAGTAAAATAATGACATTGCGGAGCTAAGGGCGTGTATTGAAAAGTAGCAAAATACATACATATGAAATTTTACAACCAATCATTATGCGTTTAGTTCCGAAGTATCATTATTTAACAATTATATATAGAACGTGAACTTACTATGTATGGCAATAATAATATTTTTGTTACCCACCAGATAAATAACGTATACGATCTTTAAGATATACCTATATAAACTGCTTGAGCAAGATGACATTCTAAAATAGCTATCGATAATAGAAAAATTAGAAAGTATATAGAAATGACATAATTTAACGCTAGTTTTCTATTAGCGATATCGCTTGCAGAAAATCTACTTGTATAAGGGTACTATTCTTAGTTCCATGATTAGAAAGTATGATGAAAATTGTAGTACCTAAATTAAAAATGCTTAGACCAATCCTTAATCATAGGGTTATAAAACAAAAATTATATATGCAAATTT